TATATATATATGTTTTCTTCTGAACAAACCAATCGTAACTTTTCCAATAACCGGTATTTTTTCAGCCTTAAATAATGAACAATTTATAGTGCAAGTTGTGTTTGATAAATTACATTAAGCTCGAAAAAATAAAACCAGCACAAAAAAGGTGAAAAATTCCTAAAGAAAGCGTACAAAACATATTTTTGTAACAGCAACAATTAGCCATCATTTACTGTTCGAACGAAACACGACCCAAGTGTGGCCTTATCAAGACAGTATCTTTTCAAGTCTAAGCCAAAACTCAAAAAAATTCTTAATCCTGTGTTACACATTATGCTGGGCTTAATGTTCGAGCAATAAATTATTACTTTGTATTTAGAAATGCATACAAAAGTAAATAAGATGAAAGTACGTTAAAGAATGTAAATTATCCAAAAAATTGCGACATCTGCAGTTTCGAAAAGTATTACCAAAACAACAATGGAAAATAAAATGAGACCAGTCGGGAGATTGTAAATCATTTCACTTCTCACGCTTACCGTATATATCGGCTAAATTATTAAAGCGTGGACCCCATTTTTCAATCTGAAAATTAAAAAATTCTGGTAAATTTATATAGCAACATTGCTATGAAGTTGTAAGTTACGCTTTACAATTTATAATGAATTTTTGTTAGCACGGGACTTCATCTTCAACGGTCTTGAAATTCATTTCAAATAAAATTATGCTTACCTCTTGATCAAGACTGCCAGAAGGAGCTGCATCATCAGTTGATTCAAGCGATTCAAGGGTTATCCTAAAATTCTCAATTTTTAAGACCGTAAAAGTGTTATTCCAAAGTAATGCTCCTCAGCTTACCTGAGCTTTCATATCCTTATACTTGTCAATCACATATTTGGGATGTATTTTATGAAGAAGTTGTCCAGACCTTTAAATAAAATATGAAAAAGTAACGAATGACGAGCCTTGATATATTGTCGCCTTCATCATCATAAATTCGTAATTCATCGTACGGTGCTGTAGCATCTGGATCTGCCTCCAAATTCTTGATTCTGCTGTTAAGCTTATCATCTAAATTGCAAAATATGATTGATAGCATTTGCATTCGAAAGTCATTCTGCGAAAATGTAAGTAGTATGTTTCTAAATACGGCTTTTCGTTATTAACCGCCAAGCTTTCCCGTATGATAAGCTTAAAAGTAAGACTGCTCAGTTGTTTAAATTACCTTAATATGATTTGCCAATACAAGGTAGCATCTTTTGGTTTCAAACTTTTGGTGTACCTCAGTTCTCCTCTATTGTAAGCCATTTTTATGAATAGACTATGTTTGAGATGTAGAATATACCAAAATGGAAGCACAAACAAGTATTTACGAATGAAGTACAGCAATTAAATTCCTAAAATTTCGCTTCTTAGATGGAAGAAAATTATTTATTATTTAATGTTCAAACCAATTGGGGCGCGTTGCATGGGATATACAGGTTGTGCATAACCATTAACACCATTTTCCTCGATTGGCATCACCGGCTTACGAAGATTGGTGATGTTATACTGGTCATTGTCTGCTTCACCGCCCCCTTCTAAATCATATGGCCTCAAATTGTCACGATTCAATTCTTCTGGGCGAACAGGCTCGAATGGTGGTGTATGACGTCGAGTATACACAACCATCAACAGAACCATCACTGCAAGTTGTTTTACTTACTCAGAATATAAGCAAGTAATGCAGGAGTACAACGGACATTTGTTTCAAGAAGTTCCAATTTCAGTTTTCAGATAGAATAGTCTACATACTCATTAATAAAATCAAGCATATAAGGATGAGGATGATTGCAGGACTGGAAATACCAAGACTGCTAACAGCTAATGTTTCGCCGCAACCGACCAGTTCACCATTAGTTCCAAGGAGTACCTATAAAGAAAAATTTCATTAATTTGTCAATTTGGTTCCAGTGCCTAAAAGTCTCTCAAATCTTTCATATATCTGGCACAAATAAAGCTAAACACTTGATTGGCTGTTGGAAAAGTAAACAAACATTTTATCTATAAAGCAGAACGATAAATCTACCTGGGCGCCTTCTGGACATGTACAGAACGGTCCTTTCCAAAAATCAACACAAACAAAAGAACCACCGCAGTATGCAAATCCCACATTAGCGCATGTCTTCCGTTGTGAACAGCCATTTTCAACACTTTTCGATTGCTTCACAGATATGATCGAGTCACTATCACTTTGGCCATAACCTCCTGACCATTCCTCGCTCTTTATCAACGGTAAATTAATGTGCTGCCAGCGGAAAGTACCGACACAACCCTGAAAGAGAATCCTAGTCAAGCAGATATTGTCATAAAGGCTTTATCAATCGTATCATTATTGAAACATCCATTTCACAGTTAAATGGCCATCTTAGGAAGTGACCGCTATATCTATCCGAAATCAACTAATCAATATGACAGATAGTGATAAGTCAATTTATTTGAATTTTTTACGGTATACATATCAGTTACTACCCAACAATGATATTACAGGAAAGAAATAAACGAAGTTCTATGTGGTTTAGTATTTTTCATTTTGCATTTAACGAACAAAACTGCATAAAATTAGAAAAAAACTGTTTACCCTGAAGCCTTTGGCACCCTGAACACTTAATGCGCCAAGAAGTAGTTCATTTATATCAATCTGATATGGAATTTTGAGTGGATTCAAAGGCAGTATTCCATGGTAAACACCATCGACGGATAGAGAAGCACTGAAAAAGATGAAGGACTGAGAGATGAATGTCTCCGGGATTAATAATTTCCGTCCATTTTATCATATGTTACCATTATCGACAGCAATAAATATTGAAAGTTCTTTTAAGCCAAAAAAAAAAAAGAAACAGACCGAACGGGACTTCTGGAAAATTGCATCCAGTAAGAGATATTGTTCTGAAGGTGTAAGTCAGTCAACCGTAATTCTACTGGTGTAGTAGAGACAGCAGCAGAACTGAAGTCAAATTTAGCTGTCGGTGAATAATTTTCAATCGAAGTGCTGATATACTGAAAGAAAAAGGAGAATGAAAATTATTACATAATACAAACTTTACTTGAATTCAGAGAAGGGGAAAATAGGGTCACATTCGTCATAAGTTAACTTAATTCTTAAAGATTCCTTCGTTCTTTTTGCTTCATTTTTTAAAATCATGGGATTGTACAACTATCCTCCGGATGAGTACCACTATTTTTGGTCATAAAAGCGAAAGTGATCCCTTAGTTTACCGGTTCATGAAGATACTATTCAACCCTGATAGAAATTCAACATAATCCTCAATTTCTAGCTAAATCCGATCATAGTTTTCCATCGGCAAAGTGATAACAAACTTGTGAGGCATAAAATAAGTGGGCAATCATATTTGTTTTGTAACCATCTAGTTCGAGTTCAATAGTTAATGAAAACTAAAAGTTTTTTACCTTTTCACCAGCACCGGCGAAGCCCAGTTCTCCAGTTCCTGCATTAGCTTTACCAGGTAGGAACAGCACATCTACGTTTGTTGTCTTATCTTCCAGACCCACTTTCACATCATATTCGACGAATGACCCAGGGCCAAATTCGACCCATTTGAATGGAGTATCACATTGATCGCCACCATATCCTGGGTCACATAAACACTTCGGTACGTTCGACTGTAAAAAAAGCCAAGTTTTGAAGATTATGTTGAGAACAAAACTAAATTAAAAACAAAATATTAAAGTAAATAAGCTCAATCTTTTTACAACCAAAACGTTCGTTATATCGTTTTCATTAGTGGTAATTAGTCTAGGAACCGGACTTATATCTCTTTCACAATATTTTATTTTGCCGAAAAGTATATATTCAGCATTGTTGATGATTACTGTTGATATATTCATTATACATTCAGTATTGTTGATATTCAGCATTATAGGCTGCCCTCAGTTTGAACCCAACAAACATCCATTCAATCCACAACACTGAAGGCTTCACAAAAAAACTTACCACCAAATCAGAAATACATTCCCCGTGAACACAGTACGGTCCACTGATATCATTTAGACCACAAGCTGCTTCCGTAAGTTGACAACCAATTTGTGAATGTTCTTCACTTGTATAGTCCGGAACACCCAAATCATACAGTTCATTATTCACCACCAAATCACGTATGCAACCTTTAAAGTTCATCGCAAAGGTTGTCACTACTCCTGGATAGTGGTCTTTTCCAGATAACGGTGCAACTCCACCAATCTAAATTTTAACCAAAAGTATTACATATGTAATACTATTATCACTTTACATAGCTTCCAAATCATCTTAAAAGTTTTGGACTGATTTCCAAAATTTTTAAATTATTTCGCTTACAAAACTGCGTTTGCATAGAGACATTTCCTTAACTTCGAGTAGTCACTTAGCAGTAGCATCACCATGATCACCAAGATCAATACCGTTTGCACTGTGATGCTTTGAATTCAATTCACTGCTTGATAACTTTGCGTTCAAAACAATAACGCCACTACTTAGATCATTAGTATTTTTCTTTTGATAAAAACTTTAATAGGCACCTGTAATGGTGCGACAACATTTAACCGTTCATCATCATCAGCTGTTATTTTAACACGGCGACAGGAAGAATCATCGATGCCAATAATTTTATCATCTGTTCCAATAGGTACAATCGTATAGCAGTTATCAATTACCAATTCAATATGCTGAAATGCGCAATAGTTATAACACATAGCACCACTTAAATCATTCTAACCAATTCAATATTACTCAATTTCTGCTACGAATAAAATTTTTAATAGAAACAAATTATAATGAAGACACAAACCTTGCCATCCTGATACAACGTAACTGTATGCCATTTCCCATCATTGAGAGCATCCGAGCCTGGAATCTGTATCGGATTAGCCACAATACCATTAAACATGAGATCAGCTTGTATGCGACCAGCAACCAATCGCAGGATAACATAATCTTTATAATCCGCTCGTCCATACGTATTATTATCACCCATTGGACCATTATACAACAATAAACCATTAGCCTGTCTGAAATTTCCATTACAGAATCATCATCAATCTATCATCGTTTGATGAAATTGTTAGCCTATTCAAGTTTGAATATACATTAGATTTCTTCTGACGTTTCATAGGATAGAAATTTTTTAGTACATCTAAAGATAAAAATGCTATGTTGTAATGAATAATCGGAAGGAGTTAACATCAAGTGAGTATAATTCTTCAATTCGAAAGTTAATTAATTAATATAGCACCCAGAGAGTTATGAATTAGTGAGGGAAAATATATGGCTATAATAGAAATCGGAAGGAAAAAGGATGGAGATCGGAGTTCATTCGTAACATATTCTTGAAAAGGTGAAATCAACAGAGTCATTTAAACTTAAATGATGGTTACTAACCTAGTTAAAAACTGTAGAGAGATGTTCAACGAGGTGCATGCCGGGACTGGTTTAAACCAAGCGAATCCTTGTCCATCAAAAGAACGTGTGGTACCTTGACATCGTGAACCTTTCAGGAAATTATTACGGCATTCGCAGAAAAACCCAGGATATGTGTTATGGCAAACACCGGAATTGAGACACAAATTTGCTTGGCATGATGAAGGTGGTGTAAAAACTGGACAAATGCAAGTATCGTTAGACCATGCATTTACACCAACTATAACTGTCTGATTGGCAGATACCACGATACCTTGCTGAAATACTAACATAAAAGCAAAGAATTTTGGGATAAACAGTTAATGAAACTATCCCTCACATAGTCTGTAATATCTTCTTTCACTTATTAAGTATTGTATTTAAAACTATAATTATAGTGGATTGTAGCTATAAGCAACTTAAAAATTTACTGAATTCTTTATAGATTAGCAATAAAACTTTTGAAACTGAAATTTCTAAAATTCCCAGACAAATACGATGATAAACAAACCTCATTAGCATGATTAACAGTCTGACATCCTTTGTCACATACAGTAAACTTGCACATATCAATACCAGCTGATACGATTGTAGCACCGATTGCTTGTTCTAGTTCACTGCGATACTGTGCAATTAAACCATTCAGTAAAACTGGACTTTTGTATGGACTACCATGTGCCGAAAAACGGACATCTAACACAGTTGGAGCATAATTTTGTAACACAACTTGGTCTTGCTGAAAAATTGAACTTTTTAAACTCTCTGTGAAGTTATGTGTACCATTGCATGAAAACTATGCCAATGGCATTTCGTAAGTGACGCAATGTTCTGTACAATATTCTGATTATGTTCTACAAATACTAACGCATTTCATGATCATGGGTTCAATTTGATAAGCATGCACCGTTTAAATTACAGTAATTGCCTTCCAAAGTAATTAAAGCTCAATATTTCAAGAAAGCAAATCTTGTATACTGTGACACTAAGCCACGACTGCAAGTAACGAAAAAAAATATGTTTTTAGAGAGCGATAAACCTTGATAGAAAAGACATCCAATTCAGAGTTCCCATCCAAATATTCATTCATTTTATTCACAAATCGACTCATTGGGCTGGAACCAGTCGAATCGACTCTTATGAAACTTCCTGGTGAATCTAGTCCATTAGGTGACAACATAATTCTAATTGCACCCTGTAGATAGCTTTCCAAAGTTAATTCAAGGAATTTCAATCGACAATCAATTAATTTTGAATCGAAAGGATTTTTTTATTAGATTGGCTAAGTTAGAAAAACGAAAAAAAGAAAAACCTGATTTTCGAAGGCAGCCGCAGGTACCATCTTTATAATGACATTAACAACACCTTGTGCTTTCTCACTACGTCGTTTATCAACAACGTTAGCAGTCATTTGATACGTTCGAGGTGGCATATTAGCATCCATTGTGATCTGAAAAACTGCGCTTTGAAGATTTATACACAAAAATAGCTCATTATTTAGTATTGCTTAGAAAGGATTTACTGTCAACTTCGTCATGGACGAAAATCAAATTTGATAAGATTGATAAACCGGTTGATGACTTCAACTCAGTGCTCCAGTATTACTAATTCTTAGTTATTTCTCTCTGTTCTAGTTCTACTCCTTCCCTTTCATTCCCGCTTTCTTGTCCCTTGCATAACGATTAACATAATTCTATATACAAGTTGCTTATATTGATTCCTCATTATTATTCTAATTGAGGCTAATTATGCAAGTTCTACAAAAGGTGATTTATTGAGAAATTAAAAGTAAAATACAAAATCACCTCGCCATTAAGAGCAATACTGAAGCCAGGCAAAGATTTTCCAGGAGCCCATGAGAACACTTTATCCGGTAAATCCCAGTCATCATTGTCCTCGACATATACTCGCCCAATCACTGTCTTTTCAAGACGCCCCAGGTAGCTATTCACAAAAATGGTCATCTCGCCATCTCTCATCGGACTATCATTCTAAAGCAAATATTGATAATTCAACATACTTTAAGTTGGACTTGAATTATCATAGTATAGTTTAAACATTCACTAATCGATAACGATCAAAAAATTGTTTTTTATAATAGAAAGAAAATGTGACAAGCATTTCTTTAAAAGGCTTTTTAAACCATCAAAAAATTGAAATTCCAAAGCAAAGTGTACTTCAAAACAGATTAACTTTCTGAGGTGCTTCAACTAAATTTCTTCTATTTTTAGATGTTACTTTTCTGAACCCTTTAAAGGTCTCATTTAGATAGAAAAAAAAAACGCAATATTTGATCATCCGTAGAAACCATTCTCATCAATTCCACATAAAAAATTCAACAATGAATGGGACTTGAAATAAATTAATATTCCTCTCATTCCTACCCCAATAGCAAAGGATCAGAAAATGAACAATGGGAACTCACAATTTCTTATTCATGAGTGTGGCCTTTGATCCAGGAGCACGTATGAAAGGCAACACAACACATAAAAAAGGATCTATTGTTATTCCTCAAGAACAGCACCTGATCAGATCATCTCATAAAACGGGATAATTCATTCATTGAATTTTTAATGATAGATTGCATGCTTCTTACCAAAATTTTAGCACCACTTTTCTTAATATCCTGATTACCGAGACAATCTCTAACTCCACGCACTACAATTTAAAGTCAAAAATGCTTTCAAAAGCATCGAAAGTATCCCCCTCGACATCGACCCCAAGCTCAATTTCAACCACCAACCTCGACCTCGATTTAATCAACTTTTCAATTACAAAAGGCCTGCCTCTTTACCTTTGTATCAAGTAAAAAATTCGTCGAAAATACGACTATCGGCAACCAACATAATTAGTTTAGATATATAAAATACAAATACTTATCGACATCACACTTTTTAAACACTTAAACCGGGAGTTTAAATGACAAAAAGGTTCAGAGTTCGGTACTTGAAATGACCTTTCAGTTAGTACAAGTATATTTTTTGGTGAAGTGTATTATTTGGATCATGATTCCTAGTAAGAACTATTCAATACGAATTACCTCATCACCAATAATAATGTAAACAGAACGTTCCGACTGCAAACCACCAGAATCTTTTAGAATTATAGGGATTTCGAGTTGCTTTCCGGGAAATTCGGCTTCGCGATCCAATCGCTGTTTTGCCGTAACAATCATTGAACCGTTACCATTATCACCGTCTGAAACAAACAAATTTTAGATTCTATGTCAATTTTTCATTCCATTTCTCAGACTTTATTTTTCGATCAATGCAATACTCCGATTTTCCAGCAAACTAACTGACTTAAATGGGCAAATGATGAGTAGTGATTAAGTAAGGAATCAAGACTTTGTCTTGATTTCCTAACACATTATCATAACTTCTCAAACGCTGTAATAGCTTCAGAATACTATGATCTGTAGCTGATTTCAGTAAGAAATCATAAGTATCACAAATTTACTAATAATTAAACCAAACAAAAACTTACTTTTATTATAGATAACACTTAGATACGCACCAAATTTGAAATCCGATGCTAACTTCATCAAGAAAGGCGGTCCATTTTCACTGAAACAGGAAATGAATTCTTTGCAGTCACTTGAATTCTTTACTAAATATTGAAATATTTCTTTTTGCTGCGTAAATAATGCAAATATTTCTCAGTGAACTGTATCGGTTCTGAAAACTATAAAATCACTGAATAAATTTAACAATTTGAATTTGAAAACTGAACTCAAAAAGCGCTTGATAGAGTAAACAACAAACAATCAAATCTTTGCCTGAAATGGGAAAATAAATTCTGAATGACATACATAGTATCCGGATCGTATGCACGTATCTCACATGTAGGTTGCATTGTTGGATCGGTATTTTCCATGAAAACACATGGGTTCGGTACTGTGTACGGCACCGGTGCATTATCATTGACATCTTGCACATAAATTTCTATCGTTTGAAATCCAACATTTCCAGCTGAAAGTCAACAATAAATAATCCAAACAATACAAAGCGTATAGATGGTGAGGAATAAGTGATGAGATTGTGTGAAGAAGATAAAGGATAGCCTAGAGACGAACAAAACTTATCACATGCTAAAATGGTAATAAGTTAATGTGCTAAAGCAAGATTGACGCCAGGGTGAGATGAAGAAGCGGGCCTAGGAAGTTATGGTTACTTCAGGCATCACAAATATTATATTTTTTATAAAATATGAACAAACCAGAATCAAAGGCCTCAACAACCAAATTGTATTTCGGGATCTCTTCACGATCGAGCCGTTGGGCAACACATAGTGATCCACTTTGATCGATTGAAAACTGACGTTTTGGATCAGTTTGCCGATTGATTCGGAACCTAAAATTATATGTTCGAAGATTAATAACTTCAATTAGCTTACCGTTTCTCTGGGTATAGTATTTAACAGTAAAATCAACATGTCAAAGGTTATTTCACTACTCAACATGTCAACATGTCACTCTCACCTTATGATCATTTTCACAATCAGTTATTTCACTACTGAATTTTTCAGGAAGTCCAACAGGATCTCTTTTTTGTTAATATTAGTTTTCTTCCTCCCTTTTCGCAAATCTGCATGTCAGTGGATACTTCATTAGCGTTCCTATCCGACCGATACAAGTAGCATACGACGGAGTAGATTTAATTAGTTCCAATCGTCTTTGCAGTGATGTCTATATTTGTACATGCTCCATTCCATTTCATTGATATAAATTATTAGCCATCCAAGTAAGCTAGCAAATGTGCCATGGGATCTTTGTGTTAAATGAAGTTAAGAATTTAATCCTAATAAAAGAGCTATTCTTATCCGAACTGGACAACTCCTTTTCCACAAAATCATTTGCATAATACCTCATCGTCCTGTTTCTATCAAACAGATAAAATAATAACTTTCACGGGAAATTAGGCTGTCGATTCATTGAGAGGCATTCATTTCTCTTTGGTTTCCATTTGAAAAAGAACAATGTGTAGTATGTGGTTAACAAATTCTAATAATTTAAATTCGTAACTTTCAAAACCTTAAACTTTCAAAGAAAAATCTATTGCTTGTGATCTCTATCCATTTGTTAAACATTAGTAATCTCTAAGATTTCGCAGATTCACAGCATGATATTCTTCTCACATCATTCTTGAATTTCGGACTCTTTCCATTGTTCAGGAAATTGAAACTTTCGGATTCCTTCCAGAAATCTTAAGGATAGGAAGAATTTTGGATGCTCTATTTAATTTCCGCAATCATAGCTAAGAAGATGCCGATACTCTTACTTCATAACAGATATGATCAGAGTACAATGTAATTACTCGTTCTTTAGAATCTAAATAACTCATTAATGCATAATTAAGTAAGCCATGCAGATGTGTAGCTAATTTGTAATAACACTGATATATGTAATCCAGCTCTGTGAACATGGAGATAATCTGGGCGATTGTTCCGCCCAATCCCTTCCTTTTCCCATTAAAACGAGCCTGGTGATACGGTCGGAGAATTGGAAATGTTTATAAGCGCCTTTTGCTCTGTCCCTCACACTACACATTATTCCTTGCAGTATTCGTTCATATTTATTATGTAATACTATGACCACTATAGCTGAAAGATGACATGAACTGAGAGAAAACCATTTCAATAATATCAATAAAGGAATAAAAGTGACTTGTGATTTATTCAATAATTTATTCAAATCAGACTAAATTGTAAAGGAAAATTACATTCCTTCGTAAAAGTTTGTGAACTCATACCCGAACAATGTGCCGACTGTGTCAACTTCCCGTCCAGGTTTACGACTGGAATTGGTAGGATGGTGTGGCTGGTAGTCGAGGTATACTAAGGTGTCGGGAGAATTTATTTTCTTTAAGAAATGTAAAAAATTTGATTTTATCTTTTCGGAACTAGGCAAACGTACTTAATTATTGCGAAGGTCACACAACAGGTGAAATGATGGGATGAGTTGATAATTACAACATCTAATGTTAGAGGTTTGACCCTCATTTCTCGCTTTTTCGGCCAAATGGTAAACACTATTTAGGTCCCCCTGTCACCTCTGCAATTAAAGGTCAACATGACTTGGATTCAACAAGAGCAATAGCTTCCATTTTCATTCTCATTAGCAAATTATTCACTAAACTTGTCCTAACTAATTAATAAACAATTCCAATTCCTTTCTTTTTCAATTCTCTTCCGGGAAGATCAGCAAGATTCCCTTCCTTCGACTGAGCATTGGTGATCCAAATCCAGATTTCAGAACTACAAATTAGTTGCTGAACTCGAATTCTGATTAATGCAATCTGACATTCCTAATCATAAAAGGACTAGATCTTATTCAATGTCTCTAGCTTATGATTTTAGCTAAAAAAAAGTGAACACTGAAAAGGGATGAAACCATGGGGTGAAGTAAGCTTTGTTTAATGTCATCAACGAAATGGAACAGTTGTAGCAATTATTCACTATAACAAAACGATGAAATCTTTTCTTCCTGAAAGTAAGTAAGAATGAAATACCTATCCGGCTGGGCAATTACTGGAAATATTGAATTTGATAAGTCCACACCTCCTTCTTCCTTTACTATCCATTACTAATCAGTCCGATATTTATCAGCCCGAACAACGTCGATTAAGAAAATCCTGATTAATGCGGTAATTCTGAAGAGTGGTTGTTGGTCTATCATCTTCCCCTGTTTACAGATAGCTGCACAACATAAATGCATATTTATAACCGGGACGACAATAAATTATGAGAAGAAACGATGATAGGTAAGGGAATTTTATCACCGTAAAATATCAATATCATTCAATCTTCCTAACTACTAAACAAAATGTTCGAATTTCAGAAAATGCTCAAATTTCTTCCTTCTCTTATTTTTACCAACAATTCGTAACTGATCGCAATATAAGATAATTATCAATAGAGACTGAAGGCAATCTCACGACAGTCATAGTGCAATCGTTTATCGACCCCTTCACGGGAATACACAGACATCCACATACATACAGAGATCGATCACTGACTGAATGATTTGAGGTCAGTTTCAAAATATTTCAAACATTTGATTGATTTCAAGATTTAAATTCAGAAATAGCAGGAACTTTACAAATGCTTAGGATAAACTCGTGTTAAGAGTAACCGTTTGTCATGTACATGCGTTAAAGTATGTTTTGTTCAGAAGAGCAGATGTCTAGAAAGGTAACCTTCATAAAATGATACTATGTGCCGCAAAGGTTACGAGTTACTTGTATGTAAATGTTGCAAAGATTAATTAATAACTCGAACAAAAATCCACCAAAACTTAAAAAACATTTAGTAAGCTTTCAGCTAAATTTAATGAAAATTTTTCCAAAAAAGTAAACTTACGTTAAATTATGTGTCATTGAATCCTTATCTTCGGCACGAAATGTTGCAATCAGTGTGCCTACAGGTGTATCCTCCGTTAAATTCTTGGTCAGCCTTACCACAATATCACGCTGGCTTTTACCGGCAAAATTCAAGAATCGTGACTGACTGGGGTAAGAACCGAGGAAGAGTTGTGATAACTCCTGGGCTTCTACTACTAATGATGTATATAAAGCAATCAGAAGAAGCCTCCAAAGTATAGAATTTTTTGAAATTTTCGAGTTTCCCGGAACAAATTTAACATAACGGTCACTCAAATGGCCCGCCGATTGGTGATATGTCTGCGAGCCAACGTATTCTTGCTGAAAGTTCCGTAGTGGGAAGGAATTAGTTATAACACTGGTACTAGTATCGGTAGACTCACACTGCAGTATCATTTGCATCCGCATCCTGGACCGTGAATTTGGCAACCACTTTGCCGAGCCACGCATCTTCATGCAGCCGGACATGCTGTGGTCCGTTGATAACCGGGGGATTGTCATTCCTATCCTGGAGTTCGATTTGCAGTTTAGTAGTTGCATAGTATCGGCCATCATAAACACGAATGCCGAACGTGAAACCGTTACGTTGTGCTGGATCTTCGTAATCCAACGGCTACAAAAAAGGCTATTTTCGAGGATGCTTTAAGGAACCCAATATAGGAACAGGTTTTTTCAGCTTCACTTTGCTGCAGGAAAATAAATTTTTATTTCGGACTTCGCAGTATCGATAACAGGTAGAATGAGTAAAGTGCTTCCAAAATAAGTTAGAAGGAACAGATACGGAAGAGCGATTATGAGGTTTTTGGAATGGAAGAAGCCGCAAAGAAGAAGCAGGCACAATTTGAGTATCTGTTCTTGTGGCAGTGAATCAGCTTATTAGTATATTGGAAATAGTTCAAACAGGTGCTGTTGATGTAGGCACTTTGATGATGACAAAGCAGTGAAGGAGAAATCGGAAAGAGACAGTGTGACTGATAACGAGGAAGAGGAAAATCCTGAAGTGAAGAAAGACTAATGTGGTTTTAACATGGCAGTGAAATAACCCTAACATAAACTCTCTTCATCAGGTTCTTCCGAATTTTCCAAAAGTTCAAATGTTTGTATAAATCCTGAAAAAGAATTAATTATGAAAGACGACGAAATAATTAGAGACGCTTGTGAGTTGTGAAGAACGAACGTAAAATGTTATGTGATAACGAAGTGGCGGTCGATATTACCCTTCAGTTTACATAACAAATATCTGATAAAAGAACATTTAGCTGATGAATCATTGAATCGTCAATCAATAGCTGACCAGTATAAATGTAAACAAGAATAGAAAAGAGAAGTAGGTAAGACTGAAGCAAGTGAGAAGCTGGATTCAAAACACAGAAAGTGAAGGAACTACAGCATCCAGTTTGACCTCTAGCTTATTCATGCAACATAACCTTACCTAGAAAAAATGATAAGAGATGTGATTAGTACTGACCTTGTCAAGAAACTGAAGTTTCATAGCAAATAAGAATGCAGGAAAACAAGTAGTCCGTGATAAGAGTTGATAATATTTTGATCCCAACACTTACGGAGAGAGAAACGTTACTCCATCAATACGAAATAATTTTCAAAAATAAAGAGAGAATGTCCTTTGATGAATAACATTGAAATTAGGGAAAAGCATTTGCAGTGGTGAAAAAATGAACTGAAAAAGTATATTTAGGAAAAGATTTATATTTCGAGTGAAAACAAAAATCGTTTGGTAAAAGTGAAAATTAATTTGTTGTGCTCTAAAATTGCTTTTCGAAAGGACGATTTCCTAAGAGATTTCATTTCTGAGATAGAAAAGAAATAAAAAAAGGAAATGAAAGCAAAAGTTGTGGGAAGTTTTGGATGCAAATCATTGAAAAGGGAAAATTTTAACGATCAGTAAGACTAAAAAGAAGACTAACTGGCGCTATAGTTATATTTAATCATTCGCCATGCATCAAAAATCACTGATAACTACTAGGATCGTTTATCATCAACAGAACTAGTACAGCTTGCAAGATTGTTCAGGATTCCAAACTAACAATTCTCTCTGTTCACTCCACACCATTCCAACATAACTGTCCTGACCAGACTTTGATATAGATATGCCGTAATTGCAGCACGGGATTCTTCCATCAACTTTTCGCATCATTTCTTCATATCACCCTGCCTCTTGTCCAATTCGGAATAAAAAGGAAACTATACGTTTTCTCTTCCATCAATAAAACTATGTAAATTTTAATATAACCTTTCGTTAAAGTAACTATTACTATTAAAAATAATGAATCCGCGCAACTTAATAAACAACATATTTGCAACAGTAACATTCCCGATAAACTGGTTATCAATCTCTCAAACGGTACATGCGACGCTAGCAATCGAATAATCTCTCTTGAACTCATCTGTTGGATTGCTGGTAGATGTTTCCAAAACAGAAAATTAAATGCCGATTTCAGATTTTCACTACAGTAATTCTTATTTTTATGCAAATTACTGAAGTAATTATAATCAGGACAAGTCCATATATATTACTACCAGTTTCATGCAATGGCTGGTTGACAAATTGCTATTCAGAACAAAAATTCTCGAAGTATATGGAAAGGATTAGGAATAGAAGAAATGAGAACAAGTGAATTAACAGTTTTTGCAAATTGAGGAAGTAAGTGGCGTAAAAATAGAACTAAGATAGAAGGAGGAAGTGAAGAAGAAAAAATAAATTTTTAAGATGCAAGAAAAATTTCATTGGATTTCAGACAAAGGTGTTCCCCACAATTTTCAATTCAATAAAATGACAAATTACCGCCCGCTATCGATAACAATCATAGCAACAAGGTGAAATTGAAAAATGAGGATAATTAACGGGGACACATGTATATGCAGTGTTGGATGCCAAACAATTTTTACGTATTCTATTACCTTGAAAAGTATTATGCGCTATTTTCATGATAACTGTAAATCTATCAACTAGCTTTCCTGTATAAGCAAAATTAAACAGGAATTCTCTTTTATATATTTCTGCCAACTTTTTTTATATTGTTTTTCTTAATCGATTGTCCCCCCCTCTGACAGGAAAACGATTACTATGACATCGAAGTTAGAAGTATCCTGCGAGAAAAAACTGAGAGACGACCCATCGGCCTTAATATTCAAATCTTATTCATAGTTTCCCCTTATTGTTATTTTTCCCATTCCTTATCTTCTATGGCCAATATCAAAACTTGAATGAAAAAAAAAGTGGAAGTACAATGACAGTTTTGAGCATGTCATTGAAAGTAATATCTTTTTCTGCGATAGATCCATAAAATGTTCGAGATGAAAAGAAAAAAAAAACTTTAAGAAAAAATTTGAATGCCAATTGGCCTTAATGCCGGAAGAATAAGAAGAGGAATTAGTGAATAGTTCAGATGATGAAATGTTGTATAAAAATTAATCATTTCACGGATCACTTGTGTGAAATCATTAAATTTTGAATCAAAAATTTGGGAAAAGTTTTTCACTTAAATACGTATCTGTAGAAAAAACTAAAATCTTTTGTGATGATGATAGTAGCAATGCGATGCGTTCTCCTCGCCCTATCGTTACAATAAAACCAAACCCATTACCGATCGATCAGTTCATGTACTCCGATAAAAAAAGCGCCATATGAATGTAGCAGGAGTTATAGGAAATTTCCAACCCATTGATCACATACCACAGTGTTTTAAGGACTATTTACAGAGAGTGACTTGGAATGAATATTTCAGAAAAAAAAAATCTGTGAGAAGAAATTGAAAAAAACTGTAAACGAAAGGAAAACTTTGGTAAGAAAAAGAAAACGGAGAAACTATTTCCTTTATATTTCTTATTTTTAACTGTCCTATCCCATTTTACTTTATCTTATGTATCGTCGGCAAATAAACAGAAAAGAAATAATAGTTTCGTGTCCTGAAACACTCAAGATAAATTAATAAAATGGATGAAATTATTTGAAACTTCAAAGTACATCATCCATTCAACAAGCAAGTGTAATATGGCTAAAAGATATTGGTGTAGAAGCAGAAATGCTAATATAAGTGCCGTAAGAGATTTGCAAAATTTATGGTTCCGCCTATAATACCATCCTTAAAATATGAAATAAGAAAAAAAAATGGCATAAGGAGAATACTGCAAATTTCATCTCTCCTCTGGCAAATTTGCAATATGTAATAACACTTTTTTCTTTTCAAAATGATGTAGAAATTTTGAATTTTCCATAAATTATCGTCCAAAAATAAGATGAAATGAAGGATTGCCACAGAAGACAGTCAGTTGCAATTTATGGGAGTTGAAAGTTCAAAAATTATATTGAGATATTGAGGGACTTTTCTTCATTCTTTTTAAGGAATAGAAACATTAAGTGATCGGTGCCAACTTGTGAACACAATAAATCTTCTCTAAAAGGTCACTTTCCGAATTTCGAATTTTTCTGTGAAAAGACAGATTTAGCATAAAATTCGAAGGCTAATCACAGCTGATGAACAGTCTAAAGGTAATTCATTAATCGAATCAACGTGATGAAATTAATTTCATCGCATTACTTCACGATGGAAAAAGTGGAAAGTCGTAAATGATGAAAAGAAAAATCCGCAAACAATACTTCACCATGGAAAAAGCGGAAAGTCGTAAATGATGAAAAGAAAAATCCGCAAACAACGATCATAAATGAGCCAGAGAAGAGAAATTTGTCACATTTAAGCACCTATCAAGCCTGGTCATTAGAACTATTCCATAATCTCCACAACTGTTTACCGGATTTGTAGTTGTTTGAAATTAACGGAAAAGCGAATCCTTTGCTCTCTTTCTGTCACATATCGGCAAGCACAAAGGTCGTTTCGTCGAGATAAAAGCACTGAGTGCTTCAAAGGTATTTGTATTAGTGAGATGAAATTATTTATCTCAGCAATTTATCGTTTGGACGATGCAGGAGTTTTTGTGTAACCGACTATCAAAGAAACGATTTATCATTTCACCCTGAAAGGAACCTGAGTCACTACATCCAATCCAATACTGGCTAATCTGTGAATAGGATAGACATAATACAGTAATGGATTGTTGGAAAAAATGCATTTTTTCCCGAATCAGAAATGGCGAAAACCTTAGTAGGTCAAAGGGCATCCGTGAGTATGCTAACGATATCAGTTTCCAGAATTATAACACAAATTATCAATCAAACTCCTTGCTAACAATATCTTGAAACCCTAGCGAAAACTGGTAGTTAAATTTTAAAAGATAAAGATAGAATTGAAATTTCGTAAGACAATCATAGATAAAGTGAAATTAAATCAAATACTGAAAATTGATGGAAATATGCAAGATGATGGGAAAAAACTTCCGCATGATGTCGTGTCTACTATTAATCTGCATTTCCTAGTCCGAGAATACAGACGAACAAGAGACCTCTCAAAATATTGGGAGCCATCAAAAGATGCTTGAAGTGAACGATGGTACAAGCATGAAATGCACAATGCCGCACGGGTTCTGGTCTAAGTGGAGTGGTCAGGGAGTGGACAGCTGCTTCGTCTGTATCTCTGTTCTTTGGTTTGGATGTATACCTCAACAGGTTAATGGAGAGAGAGAAAAGAGAATGAGGAC